CCGCAGATCCAAATTGCCCCGATATCTCGACATATTGATTGAGTTCCATCCGTAAAGTATCATTTTTTTCTTCATCACGCACAAGTCGGTCAATTGCCTCGTATAGTCCCGTCTTGATGTATCTATTATTCTCAACATCTGAATCTTGTGCGTAATAAATGGCGGGGTTGAGGTAATATCCGGCTACAAATGTACTAAAAGTTAATACCAATAATAGTATTAAATTTAAAAATTAAATAAATAAAACATAGCAATGTTTTATAAATTATACCGGCATGCAAAGGATGATGAAGTTGGTCACTCCATCGTGCTTGAATCATTGACCACACTTTAGTGATCAGTCTTTCGTGAACGGTGCCACTCAAGTTCTTCTTAATTTGTTCTTTAGCTCTCTCCATAGCATCGTATATATAGCCCATACACGGCTTCTCCTCCGTATCAACCAACCGAACAACATCAACCAACGGTGCCAATACCTGACAAGCAATTAAGTTCTAACTTCTAACTAAGATAAATAAGAATAATTAAGTGAGTGGGTGGGTGATAGGACTTAGGAGTTAGGACATAAGAGTAAGACCTCGAGGCTGGACCAGGAACTGTTGAGGGACAGAGGGAGTCACCAGGAACTCTCAGGTGGCTGCTGTTGCTGTTGCTGTCGCTGCATAAACTCAGGGAGTCACCAAGGAACTCAGGTGCTGTCGATTGCTGTTGCTGTTGCTGACTTGCTGTCGATTGCTGTTGTTGCTGTCGATTACTCGTACGAGAAAAGATGATTGCTGACTTGCTGTCGATTGCTGACTTGCTGTTGTTGCTGGTTGCTGTCGATTACTCGGTTCGTTCCTCGAGTCGTAAAGATGAAAAAGAAAGGGAATGGAAGCAGACCGTTGGCGTGAAGCGGTGAAGGAAATGGTAGCAGATTTTTGAGACCTAACTTATCCAAAAAATCTAAGCCCATAAAATAAGAGAAGCCCAAAAAATCTAAGCCTATAAAATGAGAGAAGCCCAAAAAATCGAACCCTAAAAAATATCTATATATCGGTCGATATTTACCTCAAAATATCGGTAAATATCTGGAAAAAATCGGACAATATCGCCGATATTATCGGGAACGATATTTTGGGTGATATTTACGAACCGATATTTTTTCTAAGGCCGATATCCGATATATCGCCGATATGTCGACGATATATCGCGATTTTTACAGCATAGTTGGACATAGGATATTTAACATATGCACGTTTTTCTTTTCTCAAGGCTATTGGAACATTCAGGTCACATGACTTACCAAGAGATGGTTCCTTCCTCGGTTCGGAATCAGGAGCTGAGATTGTGTTGAACTCTTTGTTTGGAGGGAATCTTCGCTCATATACTTTTCCGAACAGTTTTTTTCTTTTGAACTACAATCCTCTTGAGTAACTTGTTGAGGTTCAAATGGTACTTCAGTTTCTTCAGGAGGAATATTATGTTCACTTTCTCGATCTAGTGGTGGTTCTATTGGAACATCTACATTTTCCTCGTGTTCAAAGATTGGACAGTCTTTGGGATTTGAGTCTAATGCAGATGGCTCAAATGTAGTTGGAAATACTAGATCCGAAAACTTTAAGTCTTCTTTTTTATTCTCCCCCTGAAGACGAGATCTAAAGAAAGGAATATTTTCAAAAAACTTAACATTCATGGTAACAAACATTTTTCTCGTGTTTGGATGAAAACATTTAAATCCCTTTTTATGTGGTGTGATTCCTACAAAAACACATTTGAGGGCTTTGTGGTCTAATTTGCCAAGGTTGATATTGGTGTTCTTAATAAACATGGTACAACCAAAAACTTTTAAAGGCATGGAACAAAATAATCGTGACTTTGGAAAAGAACTTTCTAAAACAAATATGGGTGTTTGAAACTTTAAAGCTTTAGACGGCATTCGGTTCATTAAATATGTAGCATGCAGAAGAGCATCTCCCCATAAATATTTTGGTATTTCAGTTGAAAATAATAAAGAAAGAGTGATTTCAAGCAGATGCCTGTTTTTTCTTTCAGTTATGCCATTTTGTGGTGGAGTATCTACGCATGAGCTTTGTTGAACTATGCCTTGAGCATGTAAAATATTCCCTAGAGTTTTAGTAAAATATCCCCTACCATTGTCACTTCTAAGAATTTGAATCTTAGTGCCAAACTGAGTTAGAATCATGTTATAGAATTTTTTGAAAACATGTTCAACTTCTGAATTTTCTTTAAGCAAATAGACCCAACAAACCCTTGTATGATTATCTATGAAGATAATAAACCATCTATTCCCATGACATGTAGTGACCTTAGAAGGACCCCATATGTAACTATGTATCAAAGCAAAAGGCATAGATGGTTTATATGGTTGTGGATGATACGTATTTTTGTGTGGTTTTGCTAACGCACAAATCTCACATTGAAAGGATGAGGGATTTTTATTACCAAATAATATAGGAAACAAATGTTTTAAATAAAAAAAACTTGGTTGTCCAAGTCTAAAATGCCATAAATAAATCTCATTATTACTTAAATTAGATGCGGTGAAGAAGCAAGAAGTCTTCTTATTAGAGTGGATTCCCTCATCTAGTATGTAGAGTCCAACACATTCATCAGCACGTCCAATCATCCTCCCCGAGTCCAGGTCCTAAAAAATGCAAATGGAAGGAAAGAACAAAGCACGACAATTGAGGTCAACAACGAGTTTATGAACAGAGATGAGATTACAAGAGAGTTTTGGAACATGTAGGACATTAGAAAGAATGAAGTCCGATGATATTTTTACATCACCAACTCCTGCTATTGTAGAAAAAGTGCCATAAGCAATTCACACTTTTCTATTTCCTGCACAAGGCTTATAAGAATTGAAGAGATTTGGACAAGAAGTCATGTGATCAGATGCCCCTGAATCAATGATCCAGGTTGATGTATTTTGTAAACACATATGAGAAGATGAATAGTTAGACGAAGGGGTGTTTTTACCAGATTGCACATAGGCACAGGATGGGTCAGCAGAAGAAGACATAGGTCTGGTTGGATTTGAGCGTCTTGAGTCGTTTCAATTGTGGTGTGTAGGGCTCTTTCAAACTTACTCTTCCAGCCGATAGGCTTGCCATGAAGCTTCCAACACTTGTCCGGAGTGTGCCAAAACCTCTTACAATGGTCACAATAAGGTTTCTATTTTGTTCACCCCTTTGTTCTATGCCATGGACAAGTAGGGCTGTTGTGTCCCCGACATCAGTAGGTTGGATCTCATTCGTCATTACTTTTCTTCGACTTTCTTCAAGTCTTACTTCTGAAAAAACTTCTCGGATGGATGGAAGAGGCTTTCGGCCAAGAATTCTTCCTTTAACTTCATCAAGACTTGGGTGAACACCAGCCAGGAACATGAACACACGGTCATTCTCCTCTTTCTTCTTCTACCGAGTACAATTTGTAGAACTCTCCCACACACATCGTGACATTGATCCAATTCTTGCCATAATGCTACCATCTCATTATAGTAAGAGGTAACATCACGGTTATCTTGTTTGGCTTGCCACAAATGTGTTTTAATTTCAAAGATTTGGGAAAAATTCTCCAAGTCTGAATAGGTCGCTCGAGCAGAGTCCCACACTTCCTTGGCGGTTTTCATGAACATATATGGCTTAGCAATGGACATGTCCATTGAATTACGTAGTCACAAACTTGCTAAAGAATTTTCAGAACACCATTTATGGTATCCTGGATCAGATGAGACCGGTTTTGAAGTTTCACCAGTCAGGAAGCCCAACTTACCTCGACCATCAATGGCGAGTTTCACAGATTGTGACCATTTCCAGATAGTTTTTCCTATTCAAACGGTGCACAATGATTTGCATCTGTGGATGAGAGTAGTCAACCTAGTGTTGATCGATCGGTAGATTTGACGGTGGAGTTTGATTTGGACTCCGGCATGTTGAACCTTGGTTATTGGTTCTGATTATTAACAACTAATAAAAAGTTGTTAAAACAGATACCTTTGTAGCTCTGATACCATGTAATTTCAGAGAAATTCTATTATTATTCTCATTGAAAAGCAAAAGGGGGTTTTATACAGCTTAGAGACCTAACTAGAATCCATAATTTAAGGGATTTGATAACCTACGAGGAAACTTACCAAACTATACAAATATCTACCAAATCTGTTACAAAAGGAAAAATAATCCTCATAAATCAGGGATTATATTCACTGTATCAATTCCACAAATGTTAATTGTTTTACACAATTGCTAATCTATGCTTAAACATTTTTGAGCAAATAGATGAATCATGTTTACATAAACCATGGGTCTGTGTATTTTGTAGGAAGCATGGGCCATCACAGTTTAGCTATAACACCTAGTGTGATTGAAACCATCCACGTCTAAGTAGGGTGCATTTGGTAAGTGGACAGGGCTGGATGGAACTGGACAAGACTAGACGGGCGAGAGAGAGAGAATTATGGAAGGTTTTCGGGTTTTAATTTGACATGGGTAGTTTAGTAATTTACTAATCTTGTCCTGTCCCCTGGATTTTTGTTCCATCTATTTTGGTTTTTGTCCCACTCAGTCCCTTTCTGTCCAGACTCCAGAGTCTAATGTCGGTTCCAAACATGGGACAATAAGTTTTTGTTATTTCCTGTTCCGTCATGTCTTACATACCAAACACATCCGTAGGGTCACAAGCTGACTGAGGGTTGAAGCATGATTCATATGTGTTAAGATTTTGTCTTATCTATTAGTTTGGCCTTTCTAGTCTGATGTATGTGTCTAGTTAGTTGTAGAGAAAATGCTATGGAGGACGGATAAAGGGCATATGTGACATGAAGGGTGGTGCATCCCATAAATAACTTGGAGCAAAAGAAAGTGAATGTTTATGGTGTATATTCTTACACTAGCTATTTTGATGCAGTTTTATTTACTCAAAGAACTTGATTGTTTGCACTTTGACATCAGAATTCAACATGCACTACCACTTCACACATTCTAAATTTTATATATGTATAGTTGGTTAAAGAGGTCTGATATGTATCCTGGCCAACTTGCCAACAGCTTTTTGATGTAGGGTGTGTGGTCCATGGTGTTTTTGCTATTAACTTCTATATACATTGTTTCAGGTATCAGCTATAAGCCTCCAATGGTTTTCTTCAGTCGTTTGTACCGACTCTTTCTTTTCTAAGCAAATAGCTCCTTCAAGAACCTTCTGCATTTATGAAGAGGTCAAATGTTGATCCTCTATGTTAACACTTTTTACCTTGCGTCAACCCATGATCAGATATTCCATCTGTAACATCTTAAGATGTTGCCACTTGTTTATTTGACCTCAGTTTTCAATTATTATGATGGTGATATCTGCTATATTGGCTTTACCAAAGAGTTATCTAAAATCGACCTCAAAACAGTGCCTATTGATGCAATTTGCAAGTGCCCCATTTGGAACCAGTATGGTTAAGAGAGAACTGGTGAATCTTGTTTTGTTCATTATAGAGTTCAATGGGTTCATGTTTGCTTTTATGTTTAAGTGAAAATTTCATTGCAGGTCGAGAAAATGCGTAATGCAGGACTCATTAAGGGTGGTTCCATAGAGAATGCTGTTGTTTTCAGGTGAGATGCTTTGCCAAATGGTTGCTTTGAGTTTTTCAGATTTTACTTCTTGGTCAACTTGAATAGCAGTAACCATAAATCATTGAGGTGTCTGAAAATGCCTTATACGTCATATATACAAACCAGGTGTTGTCTTTCATTCATATTACAACTTAACCAGGCTGTTGAATATTATTTAAGTTTGTTTTCTGAATGGGTTTCAATAAACAGTTATTTTCATTTAGAGAACACTACTAGTGTTGACTTTTCATTCAGTCTGATCATTGTGCTGAATGATCTTCATGATTTGTTTCAGCACCAGTAAAGGTTTGCTGAATCCACCTTTGCGTTCACCTGAGGAGCCATGCAGGCACAAGATTTTAGATCTCATTGGCGATGTTTCTCTCTTTGCTCGTGATGGTAGTCAAGGGATCCCAGTTGCAAATATCGTAGCTTATAAGGTGCTTCTCTCAAATCCTTTTCTCCCACCATTCGCAAAAAAAATAGATATTTGCTTTGTCCTTTAAAAGTTGCAACGTTTTTCATCTCATGATTTAAAGGAGGTTTTTGATACTTCTAGATTAAAAAGGCTGCTTAGAAAGACCTCTGCATTTTCACTGTACATCTTGATTGAAAATTGTAGCAATTTTCATAGATTAAAAGAGTACATGTTAACTAGCTTTCTTGAGCTTAAATCCCAATTATTGACCGTGACTGCATCAAAGGGTGGGATGGAGAAGGGTCAATGTCACACTAGGGACGTAATGTTATACTTCACGAATGATCAGATGATAGTGTGACAACTTGAACAATACACAGCGGAACATCACACGTACGAATTAAACTGAAATAACTCCCAGAGACTTGAACAACCTCTAAGCAGAATACAACCGTCGTTCTCAACATAAAACATAATCTTTTACTACTTAAAACATCAACAAACAACATAGTGAAGACGTCTTCTAAGTCTAGACCTCCGCTAGACCTTCTCCCTTCCCTTGCTCATTACCTGGGGGGATGGATTAGGGGTGTAAATGATGTGAGTCGAGCTCGAGTATCGCTATACTCGACTCGAACTCGCAAGCCAATTTCCAAGCTCGAACTCGATAACTATTTCTCAAGCTCGAACTCGAATTAAGCTCGAACTGAAGCTCGAATCAAGCTCACCTATTGAAATTTATGAAATTTTAGGGTTTTTTCTTATAAATTTTAAAACTTAAAGGTGTTCTCTTGGTTTTTATAAAACTCAAGAGATCAACTTCAAACTTCATCATCAAAATGACAAAGTTAGAAATTCCATTCACCTTCCTCTCTTTTAATAACATCTTTCCTCTCTTCCTTTATCATCTCTCTACCAACGTGGGACAATTTCATTAACCCTTTTTATAGTTTTTTTTGTCTTTTTTTAATTTTGATTTCAATAAAAAATAACTGATTAATTTTTGTAATTATAAAATGCATAATTTTGTTTAAATATCTAAAATATAAGACATTTTTATTATTTATATTTTACAATTTTTATCATAAAAAACTGATTATATCTTATAACTAATTATATATAAAATAATCGAGTATCTCACGAACTTTTCGAGTCGAGTATTGGGTGGCTTGGCTCGACTCGTTAATATGTCGAGTCGAGCTCGAGTTCGAGCCGAGCCTATTCGAGTCGAGTTTTGACCGAGTAGCTCGCGAGTTGTCTCGTACCGTTTACACCCCTACCTGGGATGCACGCTTCAATTGTTATGCTATTAAGCTCAATGAGTTCATGGTTTTTCATGTAAATATAACAATACAAACAATCAGACGGTGATGGCAAGCAAAATATTGCCACTCGCTTTCTTAAACAACATATCGTAGGTTCTCGCATGCAAACGTGTCAACTGGAAATATTTCATGAAATTGTTATGCATAAAGAAACACCACATTAACATGAACGTGCTCGTAAAATAGTTTCACTCTTTTTGAGATCTCATATTCTCATTGTATGGTGTGGGTCACCAAATCTCCTTATGACATGGCTTACCTGGGCTTGCGCAACTTACAGAGGACACACCTAGCCAAAATTATCGCTGTTCCACACACATACGAAGACCATTTTCATACATAACTTACTTTTTATATCATAGCAAAATACATTTGGCATCCTAATAGTATAGAATGTAAACACATAGCATGCATCGACTTCAAAATATTGAAAAACATACGTAGTTAAAATCACATGAAATTCATCTGACTATGTAGATCTAATAATCTTGTTCACAACTTTACCCAGACATACATAACATGCTGACTTAGTGCCTAATTCCACAATTGAATAGCGGCAACAACTTAACATCAGCTAGTAGGCTGGAACAAATTAAATAGATATGTGGACACTTAGGGGCCATTTACCCAACCCTTACCTGGTAAGTGCTTATCGGTAAGATTTAACACTTTCACTTAACTTACCAAGTAAGATTTTAATCTATTTAAAGGACATCCTATGCAACATTTTTATCCGGTAAGCGCTTACTAGGTAAGAGTCGTCACTCTAACTTATCGGGCGAGACTCTCGGTCCTTGTCATCACTCTTACCGGGTAAGATTCTCAATCCTTGTCATGTTCATTCGATTCGATAAGGTAAAGCGACTTGGTACGCACTTTCCGGATAAGTGGTTAGTAAACGGCTCCTTACTTTGGGATAGAGAGAATAACATCATTATCTCTAGATCTAAGGCACCACCACCAGCATGAAAATTGCAAAGTTTCACTCCGTTTTAGGAGGCGGGGGGCGGACAATAGACACCTAAACAAATAGTTTTTAGGCGAATGCCTATCTCACACACGACCCAATTTAAAGATTCCTGGCTCCGCTAGCTACTGATTTCCAGCATCTAACCGATCCTAAATTTTGTAAAATGCAGGGAAGTCACGCGCTGCATGCTGCATTTGTTCGCCAACTATCAGGAATTTCTTGAACATCAGTAAGGCAAGACCCTAATCTGCATTCTATTTGCGTTCATAATCGAAACATATTCCACCTTGTTTTTTAGGAGTATGCAATATTATGGACGTGTCCAACGGTGGACCCATGATTTTTGCAAAGCAGGTGCACCGTTAAGGTGGACCAAAGGCCCGCAAAGTCGCCTGATGTATTTTTAGCGTAATTCCACCATTTTCAGGGATTTTTGGTTGATTTCGAGGGATTTTTTTTCCGGTTTTTTGGTTAATTTTCTTATATTTTATAATATTCCCGAGCACCTCTCAAAGTTTAGTAGGTGAAACTTTCATCCTGATCCTGATATGATGATATATACCGGTTTAGTTTGATTTATTTTACATTGGTCTAATGAATTGAAGAAAGAAAAGGTATGTGGATGAGTTATCAAAGTTGGTCTCATAAATTGCTACTTTTGGTAGGTGGGTCGTGGTTGGTTGGTTGGTTGTCTCATCTCATGTGAAACTTTTGGCCCATACTTTTTCAAGGTAAAAAAAGTTGGAAGAATGTGTGAATAATTACTTATTCATATATGAATACATGTGTCATTTTACTAATGATTTACATATGAATCATTTATTTACACGTTCTTAACGTTTTTGACCCTCTATATTTCTATAAGAAGATAGGTGTTTTGTGTCATTTCATTTGAAAGTCGTCGTATTTTTTCTAATAAGATAAGAGTTTCGTTTTATTTAAATGGGGATTGATAGTGAATTTATGAAAGATATAAAGAAAAGGTGAAGCAACCTTATCATGTAGATCACACCCTAATTCCCCCACGTCTCCTCCACAAAAGCAAAAGCTGAATTGACATTTGGTTTTATATTTAAATGTTGTATTAAACTTAGCTTCAAATCCAAGAAGGAATAAAAATCTTCTTATGGTCACGCAGGTTCAAATACGGTGACTCCAGGCTATCTGTAAAGCAGGTGGTAGTCCTGAGATTAGTTGGCTCGTATAGCGGGTTGGATATCCAGGTTAATAAAAAAAATTGTCTGATTCATATAAAATATTTAACATATGGATGGTGACGTCATGGCACAAAAATATTTACCTCGAAAATATTATTTTCTCTAATTAGCTTGTTTGGTAATTAAATCGAGATCGCTTGAAATTACTCAAACGCCCAAGCGATCCTCGAGTTTTCTTCAACAAAGAGTTTCTTCTTGTGCCATCCCGTTTGCATGCTTCTTGATGGAAGACTCCGAGCTTTAAATTCTTGTTGAGAACTTTCATTATCTTTGGGTTAAATAGTGTAGAAGCTAAGAACACTTTAATGGCATGACCGTTAGTACAAAAGGTAGTAGTTTGTCAGTGATCAAAATGCTAGGTCAAACCGAAATGGGTGAATCTGGACTTTGTTGAACACATATATAGCTGGACCAAGGCGCAAAGGAACTCAAGGTACCCTTCGAATCTACAAATTCATAATGCATCAGTCGTTAACTCGAGACAAAATCAAGTCAGAGTTGTGAAAAATTGTTCTTCCCTGACCTTTCATTATCACAAAATTGTTGTTTTTGTCCCATTTGATTGGCGTCTTAGCGGTAGAGGCGTCAGCGTGTTCCGTATGTTTGAGGCCATATGCTTGAGCTTGGGCATCGCCTCTCTACCAATAAGTTGCATGTACGATTTACACTTCCATGATGACCATGAGACAGGTACAATAAAGGCTTGTAAATCACCTTTATTTACAACCTAACCAAAAGTACAATGTTTGATATTTTTGTTAACATTTTGATATTTATAAATCCTTTAATTTCAAGATTTATGTATTTTTGAATTTATTTAATTGTCTAGTAACATTTTAATAAAATTAGAATTATATTAAAAAAGGAAGTTTTAATAAATTTAAATTTAATATATTAAGCTAATTTTAAAGAAAAAAGTATTAATTTTAGTAATTTACAATATAGTAACATATTTAACTAAAACATACCATATAGATATATATAGAGAGAGAAGAGACGTTTCAAATACAACCTATCATATTTGTACAATCAATTGTTGTTTTCCAACCCTCTTCTATAAAATATGTGTTGAAAATGTAACTATTTAATTTCTAAACATAACCTTTCTATTCAACTTTATGTTATTTTGTCCATGACGACCGTGAGACTGGTACAGTAAAAACAAATCTAGGAAATAACATTTTTTTACAACGTAGCCAAAAGCAGATATCTAGTTTAGGCTGATATTGGAAGTAAATATACAGAATCGATTATATAAACGATGTTTCTTTTTCACATAAAAACATATGAAACATTATATAGTTGTTTTTAAATGCCTATCATCTAACGGTGCATATAAATAAAGACTTGGAATCATGTGAGACAAGACTGTTTTTGTGAGACACGATATTTACACTTGAAACTTCACAGCAAAACACTTAACCTTCAGAGTGTTTTTACTGTGAAGATTCGGCTTTTTTTTTTACCTTCACAACATTTTGTTGTGAAGTTTCTGAATGTAAAAATCGTGTCTCACGAAAACAGTCTTGTCTCACGTGAACCCAACCCTATAAATAAAAACCAAATTTAGTAAGAATGATAATTCAAATTTAAATAATAATTAAAAAAAAACAAGTTCATCTTGTAGCATTTTTCGATCTTATATCATGTAATACGAGTGAAACGAGTATGAATAGCAACCCAATTATTAACGTTATTTTTGGTTAAATTTCTATTTCAAAATGTTGCATTCAACCATCTCTAATGAATGCATTAATCTTACACCATACTTATTTTTCGAATCAGTTTTTCTTCAGTAAATGCATTATTTTTTGCACTATTTTAATGTTATAAACAATAAGATACCAAATTTGGTGTAACACTGTTTATCAATACTATATTAAACTATGAAAGCATTACAAACGAAGACAATAAAAATACATATTGAATACTGAATAATAACATATATAATGAAAATATTATATTTTAAATAGCAGCAACTAGTATTCTAATAATTTGGGTGACCAGACTCAAATCCTCCAAGATCACTAAAATATCGTCCAAAGTCCAAATCATAAAATAAGAGGATACTGCTGATAATGTTGTTTTAAAACCGTATTTGTAAATAACGTGTTTGTTGGTCTCAACCATTGGATTTGTAAATAATAGAAATAGCATCTGATTCAACATTTAGGAGAAATTTCTTAATACTGTTCTTGTAATTGTTATATCCAATAAACAATTTGTATTGAATCTAACAAATAATATTGTCATCCAAACCTAGCATTACAAAAAAATTTACTAATATCAGGTTTCGAATTTGTATCATAGATAATATGTTGGTATAAAACTTTAAAAAAGCTGAAAACTAGTTGAAGTGAGGTCAAGATTATCACCAACACGAATTGGATTGTCTTCTAGCCAAAAGAAGATAAACACAAGATAAAGTCAAAAGTAGTCTGACAAATACTACTTCTGTCAAGCTGAAATTGGAGTGCAAGTTTGGCTCACCAACTCTATTAACTCTCATCTTGGTATGGGAACATGTTTGGCATGTCAGACAAAGTAAGTTCTAAGATACTATTTTAATATTATCATATTTCATTTATAATTTCCCTTCTTCATACAGAATGATGGATTGAGTTAGCAAGTGCCTACATCAACTTCAAAGACTGAAATGAAGAGTATAAGCATACATGGATTAGCAAATCAAATAAACACACATGTTAAAGTTGGCAAGCAACATTTAATGCAATAGTGGCTATAAAAGGTCTTCCTTGTCATATGTTGATTGTTTTGAAAAAAATTCTAAGTGATACTTTCTTAGGGAAAATCATTGTTACAACTTGAAGGACTATCTAAGTACTTCAAATATGAAAGAGTTCCTTCTTCTCCATACTTTCGATTAGGGATGCTCATGGGTTGGGTTGATCGTATTGAAAGCATTTAAACGATCCAATCCAATGCTTGCGGTTTAAAAAAAACTCAACCCAAATTGCAACCTAACTTAACCAAAACCATACGAGTTGGTMTGGTTGATATTTGTCACATTCACATAAGCATAATGCATCCCACATAAAGACCAAAACACAACTTCAATTACTTGTATGCACATGTGAATACCATC